ACATGGCAGGTGTAGGTGACCTGGCCCCCAGGTGGAGAGCTGTGACCTCTCGCTGGCTACCTGAGGGCGGGGGTGATGGGAATGGAGGTGCGGTAAGAATGCGGGGTGTCTGCCAAGCTCACTCTCACTCCCTCTGCTACCCTCCCCTGGGATGCCAGGGCTTGTGCACCGGGAAGCCCTCACGTTCAGGTACCAAGCACCCGCAAGGCCTCTCCAGGAGAACTGGGCTGCAGCCACCGCTCGGGCTCACCCTGGATTCACGCAGGAGCCAGTCTTCGAGGCTGGCCAAGAGACAGCGTGCTGGCCCCGGCTCCTGGGCTCACCACATCTGCATGGGGCGCTGTGACTCAGGCGGAGGAGGGCATGCGGGGGACCAGCGGCCCAGGTGCTGTCCAGGGCCCAGAGGTCAGCTGGGACCTGCCCTTCTACGCCAGATGCTCATAGACGCTCATGCTTTGATTGCTGGCCAGGCCTAGGGACTGCACCCGTGCACGAATTTCATGCACTAGGCCTCTAGTAGTCTAATAATTCTCAGTATTATGGGTTGGTGGAGGAAGCATTGACTTTATAGTTTTATATGAATACTTTAGAAATATTTTTAAATCTAAGAAGCCTTAAAGAAAACTAGGTTTCTCTAACCAGAGAACAGAGGATTACAGTCTTTGAGATTAAAAACTAGTAAATCACACGCACAAAAAAACTTGAACATTAATGATTAGGGACCATTCATGAGATATTAGGTACTAATGTCTTTAAGTGCTACATTACTCAGGTCTACTGGTGGGCTTTTACTTTTCCTGGATGGATTTTAACTAAAGAGACTTTAGACATTTGGATATAGATAAATGCCTAATTCAGTAATTAGTATTTTAAAACTGTGAAACCTTTTAAGTTAAGTGGTCTATTAATTAACTACCAATTATCTTGTCTGACTACCGTATCAATAGAAGTAAATTACCAACTAGCTGTGTGACAGATTGAGTCCTTTGCAATGCAAAATCTCTCCCCCGCACATAAAAGGCCTGCAGCTAAATGCTTCTGCCTCCCCCTTTTGGCTAATCGGGGATCAATGTGCTGCTCACGTGGGAAGGCGAGTTGCAGCTCTTTGGTCAAGAAGGACCTACAGATAAACTCGCTTTCAGAAACAGCGAGCTAAGACTCTGCTTAAAAAATAACAAGTGAAGTCACGCTAATGTTTTTGGGGGAACATGGGTTTGCAGTTCCTGTATGGAGGCCAATGTTCCATATTTCTCACCAAAATACAGAGAACCTGAGATGTTCCTATGATTATGGCAAACAAAGGGCACTGTATTGTGTGCACTCGGCACGGTCTTGCCCTCACCGGGATCGCTGCACAACAGATTATCCTGACTAGAGCCTGCCCCAAATCTATCACTTCTTGACTGGCGACCAAGAGAAGGTTCCTAGGAGGGTTCCTGGGGATGGCAGAGTACTGGAGGGTGAAGCATCACAGCAAACGGGAGGGCTGTGCAGACAGTGCCACATCCGGTAAAAACCGCCATAGTGCATGGGAATAGCAAGAAGCAAGGAGGTCCTCTCCTCAAGGCCTGGTCACTGTGAAATAGGAATGGACACCAGGCATTCCACTTGAGCTTGATTCCAATTCCCATATTCACACCAGCCCTCTCAAAGTCGCCAGCCTCGCACCGCCGCGCAGACTTAATGCACTACAGTGAAGAGGAGCATACCGGTGGGGCAGGGAGAATGAAAAAACGGTGCGGGGAAAACGAAGAGAGGTGCAAACGACAAGGAACAGGAGCTGGCCCCACTATGAAATCTCATCGATCGTCCCCAGCTTCAATCAGCCCAGCATAACGCTCACCTTGGGAAGCTGCAGAAGACAGACCCATGTGAGCATCCTCTGAACAGCTGATCTAAATATTTAAGCAGAAGCCTGGCCTTGGTTACCAAACATCTATCGGGTGGCTTAGGAGCAGAGTTCTGTGCCAGCAAGGGGAAAGCAAACAGATGAGTAAATAAGCTGCGTTCAGACTGTGTGCCATCTACTTCGGCGTTCAGAGCACAAGGTAGAAAAGGTTGCACTGAAGAACACAGACTGTGCAGCCCAGGGTGGACCTGACAAGGAGGCTGCAGAGACTCCCGGCAGGAAGAGAGGAAGCTTGGACAAGTCCTTTCCCTGCAGCTTCATCAGAAAATTAGAGGCTGGACTAGACGATCTCTAAGGGCCCTTGCAGCTCTAACATGCAAAAACGCCAGACAAGGAACAGCAAGGACTTGAGCGAGGCCTTCAAAGGCAGACGGAGGAGGGGCGGAGGGCCTTCCAGGCTGGGGAAGCGTGTGAGGAATGGTTTGCAAGTAGCAGCATCCACAGCTTTTTGATGGACGCCCACATGACACCCACGTGGTTTTCTACTTAACTGCATATGACTTTAACTCGGGTCAGAACTGCGTGCTCTTGATTATATTATGAAAACCAACAACAACTGCTACTTAAAAGTCTAGCTCAAGACAATCTGTTCAAATGACTGGGCAGGTCTTGCTCAATTGATCTACTTTTTAAAAATGTTCCGGGCAACTTCTCTTCCCCACCCAGACACAGTCAAAAGACACACGGGTGATTTTTTCTGGAAGGGAACAGCATATGCCAACACTGGACATCTCTGAACAGCTACTACAAACATCTTCCCCTAAGAGGGTCCACCGGAAGGGGGCTGAATTCAGGTGGCTCTGAATTCATGTAGATGCCCAATCCCCAAGAATCACTGTGAAAATTAACACAGTAGTAAGTCTTCTTTCACATTTTAGCTGCTAGATCTCAACTTCTTAAAAGGTTTCTTGGCAAGAAGTTAAAAATTCTAACTAGAAAGCGAGTTTTCTGACTCAATATTGAACATAAATTCTTAAGTTTAGATGCTTGGGGGAAAAAACAGCTGGAGAACTCAGGAGCCTCCCATGTTTTAATATGAAGTGACATCATACTGCCAAGGGTTCCAAGTACTCCCTTAATTGTGGAGTTAGGCAACATCTCAAAAGGCCTCTGGGAAGGTGATCTGTTCTGCATGCTGCAGAGATCCCGCTCCGCGATAACCCCGCTACTGGAGACGTGACTAGATCTTCTCAGATTAGAAAGTAGCCTAATGTTTGAGGGACGGCACATTAATTGCTGTGTATTTTCAAAGCTGAAGCTATGGCTTTTCTGTGCTTAACACCCACCAAATTAGCTCTCATTTCATGGGACGTTTAGAGAAGAAGAGCTGCTTTCCTCTTACAAGTATTTAACTGCAGATCGCAGGGGATTTCTTGAAAAATCTGGTTGCATTTGAAATTTTAGAATTCAGCAAAATGAGCATACAGAGGAAGGAGGTGTTAGACTTCAGAGTATTTTGTGTAGGGAAACGTGCAAAGTTCAGAAACGAGCATCAGCTCCGTCAAAGGCTATCGGGAAAAACCAGTTTCGGTGCTGGGTTCATAACTGGTTTCCAAGAGCTGAATACCTGGTTAAGGATGAATAGCTGCCTGAACTCAAGTTTCTATGGCAGCGTCACCCTTACCATTCTTCAAACAGGAAAACTGTAGTCCACCTGCACTGTGTGGACATCTTTTATTGCTAAAGAGGTTGTTTCCCTCAGAATTATAAACACACGAGATGATGGATAAGCTGTTGCCTAGTTTGTCCAGTTGCACTGGCCTTCACTCGTTGGCCCCACCCCTCTGGCACCTGCCACTGCTCTGTGGACCCCCCGGCAGCAAGGACTATCCATCCACCGACCCCACTGCGCACAGCACACGCTCGCACACTTCCACACACACACACAAGCACACTTAATCTCCCCAGACTGTATCTAGTCTTCTCCTTCCTCCTTTAAAACATGACGTGAGTTAACTCGCAACGTTTATATGTTCATTCTAGGGGTTTGGAAATGAATTAAATAAAGTTCAGGTTTGAAAATAAAATGGGTAAGCTCCTTCCAGGATAAGAGACATGGTTTGCTCTTAAAAGAGCAACATTTGACTTAAGTGCTTCTGAAGCCAGATGAAGTTTTTAAGCAATTGCTAAAAAACTCAGGAGGTTTAAAGTGACCTATTTAGGAGAAACAGTTCTTCATTGTGTTCGATTAGAAGGCTAATCTGCCTATGGAAAACACACACACACACACACACACACACACACTCCGTTCTCCTTACCCTTTCTTTATCGGATCCCACTTCTCTACAAAAGGGGGAACACTATGGAGGAGGAAAAGCAGAAAGTGGGTCAACCATGTGCATTATAGGGGAGGGGTCCACACCTCCCGTTACTGAGTCAGTTTGGCTGAGAAACTGGGTTGGTTCTGTCCCTCGAGCAGTAAAGCCCTCGCTCTCTCCCTCAGGAGCCGGAGGAGTGCCATGTTCTGTCACCCAGGAGCTGGCGTCCTGGTTGGTCTCAGTCCCTGGTCCACCAGACCTCACAACCTTCCTGCCCCTACATAGGGGCCCTGTGGCCCAATAGGGGTGACTTCTGTCTCCCGAGAGGCCTCCTCGAAGCCGAGAGGGACTCCAGCAGGACAGTGCCCCGACCCTGCGACGGCCCACGATGCGAAGTGCCTGCCAGGGTGGCCTGACTGCGCCCAGGGGACCCCAAATGCTGATCTCAGAGTCTCAGGCACTTCCCAAAACACAGCCCGGCGGTAATGTGGAAGCCTAAACTCTGACTTTAGGAATTCATAAGAATAGCCGATGTTTTACAAACTCAACGGAAAGTAAAATAAACAATCCCAGGATTTTATGCTTCCTCTTGTTATTTTTATGGCAGTCTTTCAAACTAGTTCAAAATGTTCAGTCCTCTACCCTCTCAAGAAATGCTGGACTGGGGCGGGGGCGGGAAGCAGGCAGCGATTTAACGGTAACGGGTGAGCGATGTATTGCACCGTGGGGACTAGGAGCGCGCAGGTGGCTCTCAGGCTGGCACTGAGGGTTCTCTCCGTCCCCCCTTCTCACGGCAGAGGGCCCAGAAACGAACAGAGGATGTTTATATTTACCCAGAAGTGTGCGTGGCAATTGACCATCATGGTTCTCTCAATGAGCTCATCAGGACATTCCAGGAGGTGGTGCCCGGAGACCACGCCGGCGTTGTTGACCAGGACCGAGACCTCGCCAACCTCCTTGCGGACCCTTTCTGCCGTCAGGTAGACGTTCTCCCGCTTCCCCACATCGCAGGTGTAGGTGAAAACCTGCAGGTTACAGTGGGGCAGGATCTCTTCCTCGCCGTTCCCAGCTGTCCTCAGAAGTCCAGATGAGGGGAAAAGAGGGGAATGGAACAGAGAAGGGAGGGGGTTTGCAAAAAACGTGAGTCACATGGCAGTCAGTAGGACAAAGATCATATGAAACAAAAATTCTACAGTGAGCTTCGGATTTCTAACACGGTGAGGCTTGCCAATGACTGAGCTTACAGCTGCTTCCCTCCCCGAAAAGTCTGGGGGAATTACAGCAATTTGCTGGAGAACTTCGCTTCGGGGGAAATCATGCAACTGTGACAAGCCCGGCGCAAGGCAGACCTCCTGGGATCAGCTTCCTGGAGCGAAAGACACCTGGAAAGAACTGATCCTGACCCAGGGACCCACACCCCTCCCCCCTCCCCACACACACAGTGCACGCTCCTCTTTTTAGGGGGGGAAGCAGTGGCCTGAAGTGGCTTTTACTCTCTAGTATGAGCACCCTCAAAATGGAAACTCACCTCAAGGCTCACATATCAAAATTGTCACTAATCATCTCAATTCATCCAAAGCCAATGATTGATCCTAGAGTTTCTCATGGAAAGTGTACACTAGTGTGTTCTAACTGGCATAGCACCCTTACATAAACAAGTTCACAGGTAACCGTGCCATTTTATCACACGAGAACTCAATTTGAAAACCGCAATCTCTTCCCTGGAAAACGAATAGCTTTACCGCTTAGGTTTTGGCAAGGGAGCACAAACATCTGTATTTGCTGCCCTCCAAACCATGGCTTGAAAATGCAACGTTTTTAACCTTTTTGATTCTCTGATCTCAAAGGCAGGTGGCCAATAATTTTGGCAACAAATGATCAATATGGGGGAGGGCTGGTGCCCAAGTTAATCTTCCCTGGATAGTTCAATGTTTTCCCTGGAAACAAAACATTTTGTTAAAAAGCAAAAGTGATTGTCAAGTTTCCTGGACCAACACTTAATGTTTGGTGGTGGTCTCCACATTTTTTTTTTTAAGTCTCAAATTCAGGTCCGTTGATACACGTACAAAAATGCAAGATTTCCCGAGGTTACCAAAAACACGGACAACACATTTACAAAGAGGCTTCCGTCATTCAAGCTCGGTCTTTAAGAAGCAGCAGCGCAGGCACAGTTTTTCAATCAGGCTAAGTGTGTAACTAAAGGACTTAGTTATCTCTGGTGACACAATGTAATTATTTCCCAGTGATTAAAGTTACAGAGAAATCAGCGCTGCCCTCCTCTTAAGAGGTTCACAGACCACAGGAAGCAGACGTGCTTCTGCCCGGTCCGGGAACAACTTCCCAGACAAGTTTCTTTCCCATCGCAGAGGCGATGGAGGCATTTCCTTACGGTTCAAACCTGGGGACACAAGTGCCCTCTGCCTTCCCTGCCCTTGGAGGGCTTAGTCCTCAAAGACACCGGCCGGACCTCGGCTAAGACAAGGATCTGGCACACGCGCCCCCCTTCCCCCTTTAAACACGGAGGCGATCGTGCTCCTTTATGGGGAGGGGGCAGCCTGTGTGTATGTAGGGAGGGGTGTCTCTTCCAGGACAGCCAGGCTGACCGTGGCAATGGGGTTCGGTGGAAGGCGGGGGCCAGGGGGCGCCCAGGTGGGCGCAGGGGCGAGGAGGGGCTTGACTCAACAATGCCGGGGCCGGGGCCGGGGCGCGGGCGCAGGTCTGTCCGCCCGCCCGCCCGGCTTACCTTGCAGCGCCGCGGCGTCGGCCGCCTCCAGGTCGCGGTAGATGTGGCGCACCATGCCCGCCGTCTCCTCGTTGCTCTGCGTGTTGATGTCCCAGAGCACCAGCAGCGCCCGGCGCCGCGCGAACTCGAGCGCGAAGAGGCGGCCCAGGCCGCTGCCCGCGCCCGTGATGAGGCACACCTGGCCCGCCACGCTCTTCTCCTTGGGCCGCACCAGCCAGCGCGCCGCGGCCAGCACGAACGCCCACAGCACTTTGAACGTCACCACGAAGAACTCCACCACGATGTTCATCGCGGCGCCCGGGGGCCCGCAGCCCGGCTCCCCCGCCCCCCGGGGCGTCTGTCCGAGCGGCCGGGACCAGAAGGCTGCGCCCCGAGGTGCCCGCCGGGGCTGGGGTGCGCGGGGGGCCACTCCCGCCTAAGCTCTGCGCGCGCGGGGGGGAGGGGAGGGGGGACCCCCAAGCGGTGCCCGCTGCGGCGGCGGCGGCTGCTGACCCGCCCGGCCGGCCGGTCCCGCTGCGGCGGCGGTGACAGCCGCGAGTCAGGCGGCGCGCGCTGCCCTCATGGCCAAGCCGCCGCCGCCGCCCGAGCGTCTCCGGAGCCGCCGCGCCGGCTGCCTCTCACCCCGGGGGAGGGGCGCGCGGCGGGGACGGCGCGGGCCGGCGGGCCGCCGCCGCGGGACTTGTCAACTTGACCCAAGTTGCGAGCGGCTGGGGTGCGGGGCAGCGGGGACGCCGGGAAGGGGCGACTCGCCCGGCGCAGGCGAGCGCTGCTTGCCCGGCCGCTTGCAGCCGCTGCCGCCGTCGCGGGCCCCCCCACGCCCTCTCCTCCGAGGCTGTCACGCCGGCACCGGGCTCCTCCGCGGCGGCGAGACGCCACTAGCACGTCGGAGCGCTCCCGAGCCGCCTGTGAGCGGGATCCACGCTCCGCGCTATATAACCCGCGACCGGGAAGAGCCAGAGGCGGCATCGGCCCTCCCTCCGCTCGGCCCACCCCGCCCCCGGGCGCACCCCGCCCCCGGCCCAGCCCCCCGCGCGCCCGCAGTCCGCGGAGCCGCGGCGGGGCAGCCCCTCTCACATGGCCGTGGCCGCAGCCTCCAGCCCGCCTCGCACCTCCCTTCGCGGCGGCTCACGCCCCCTGCCGTGGGGTGTCCGGGCCTCCGCCTGCCAGGCCCGGTGGTCGGCAGCGCCCCGGCCATCCTCCTCCTCCTCCTCCGGGCGTCCGGTCCTCGCGGTGCCCCTCTCGCCACTTTCATGAAGCGGGTCATTCTGGACGGCCCCGCCTGCGATCAGGCACCGCCGAAGACAGCCCTACGGGCTGGAGGAACGGAAGGACCTCGGCCGCGCGGCCACGGGGGCGCTGGAGGCTGTGTGACTGGGGTTGGCAGAGAGCCGAAAAGGTGCTTAAAGCCGGTTCTCGGGGGCGACTTGGAATCTCAGCTGGCCCTTTGCATCGTGGGCCAAAAGAGTCTCATTTTCCCTGGCTGGAACCACCACCGTAGTGGCTGCCTGCAGTCCTTGCCAAACGTCGCCCGACCGCCCGCCCGCCGGGCAGGCAGTGGGGCTGGTGCATGCTGGGATTTGTAGTTCTCCCCACCTGGCGTGTCATTTGCATTCATTACTGGGTGGAATTCGACCCGCACCGAGTTAACGCACCCTAAGGGACTAGTCAAGGTGTCAGCACTCCTTGCTCTCATATGAATTAAAGCGTTTAATCGATACATATTTCCCCCCATACGAATTGTATCCTAAACTTGACCCTAAGAGACTGAATCAGGAATGTCTTAGTTTTTGCGTTTGCAGGGCGTGTTCTCTCAGTTCTGAGTTCTTTTCTGGCTTATCCTGGGACACCTATGAGTCCTGGGGCTTTTCACGCGTCGTCTTTAAGTGAACAGTGCGCATGCGCCACCTTCCTCTTTTCCGGCTGGAACCATGGAGGGTGCAGAGTAAGTGGCTCTTCCTCTCCTCGAGAATCCCCTTCCATCCCCGAAACCAGAGACCCTTTGTCCTCCTTTCCCCCGGCCCACCTGTACCCTGTACCTTTGTCTGCTTACCTGGGTGTTTGTGACGTTTTGTGACATTGGCGGAGGCCGCCGGCCGGCAGGGGATGCAGGCAGCCGTGGGGCGGAGGTTTTGGAGTTGTTGGGAACGAGGCGAAGTGTGAGAGCGGAGTGTGTGCGGCCTCGGCCGGTTGTCCACCCCTCCGTGTTGTGGGGGAGGCATCGAACCTCTGCATTGGGTTCACCCTTGTCTGGCACTCGATCTAGGATAGGCGTCCCTGCCGTCAGCCCTTTGCGTTCAGCATGTGGCGCTTGAGGCCTGACCGGGGTGATGGCATTTTTTTTTTTTTCTTCTGTGGTTATTTGTTGAGGAGCCTAAGCCCTCGTTAACAGTCTAGGGATTCTTGTCTTTTGTTAACTCTGCTGCGGATATTTTTGTTGTGCGAGAGGCTGGGACCGGGCGTGGATTAGACGTGAATTTCCGTGTTAAACGTACTAATAGCATAGACATGGCCTAAGAGCTCCGTCTGGGCCCATCGCAGCTGAGAGCAGCTGAAGGGACACACGTGAGAGCAGTTGTGTTAGGTGCTCGGTCATGGGCGCACGGCGGGGCTGTGAGCTTTAAGAGCTGTTCATGCTTGCTGATGCCAGAGAGAAGAAGAAGAAGAAGGTTCCTGCTGTGCCAGAAACCCTCAAGAAAAAGCGAAGGAATTTCGCAGAGCTGAAGATCAAGCGCCTGAGAAAGAAGTTTGCCCAAAAGATGGTAAGTAAGCCTTTCTTTCTTTCTTCCTTTCTTAATTTCTTTCCTTCTTTCCTTCCTTCCTTCCTTTCCTTTTTTTTTTTTCCTTCCTTCTTTCTTCACCGTGTAAGAAGAGGCTTTGGGGTGGCAAGCTAGGAGGATGTTCTTGGCAAGATTGGTTTGCTTGACCTGGTCTACCAGGGAGGGCGGTGAGCTTAGCGCCTCTAAGTGACATCACAGGTGAAGGTGGCATCTGCTTTTGGGAATGTTAATGCCAACCGGCAAGAAAGGGAAGAAAAAGTTTCAAGGGAGGATTCGTTTTCTTCAGAACTGGTCTTGCCTTGGTCATTTTGTTTGGAGCTAAAAATCAGAGGAGTAACTCTTTGTTTTTCAGCTTCGAAAGGCGAGGAGGAAGCTCATCTATGAGAAGGCGAAGCACTATCACAAGGAGTACAGGCAGATGTACAGGACGGAGATTCGCATGGCTAGGATGGCAAGAAAAGCCGGCAACTTCTACGTACCTGCCGAACCCAAATTGGCATTTGTCATCAGGATCAGAGGGTAATCAGTTCGTGGGTGTTTTGTTTTGTGTTTGTTTATTTTTGCTGCAGTCTGGTTTTGAAGGGAAAAACTGTGCAATCTCAGAAAAATGGGACATTGCTTCTGGAGGCCTTGGTGCTGGAATAACATTATTTTGGGAGTAGCTTGAACAAAGGCTTATTTTAATGGTTTATCTGTGAGACCTGTGCCCCGAAGTCCTTACCCATTCTCTAATTGAGCACTGGGCTTGAGTTCAGGGTCCTGGAGATGAAAAGTAGTTCAAGTGTAGCCTCCTAAAGTGTTATGACAGAGATGTTTACAGAATTGGCGAGTGGGGGAAGGGTTGGAGGGAGTTTAAGTGTCATAGGTATATGTCCAAAGGCAGTTTACTTGGGGAGGGGGCGAGTTGGGAGAGGTGATAGACAAATTTAGCTAAATAACCGGAGAGGCTTCCTGTCTATTTAGGTGGACTTGTGGTGTCCAAAATTGTAATGGTTTCCTGCCCTTCATTAATAAAAACTTGTGAAAAGCCCAGAGACATTGTTGGTCTTTTCATTGCAGTATCAATGGTGTGAGCCCCAAGGTCCGAAAGGTGCTGCAGCTTCTCCGCCTTCGCCAGATCTTCAATGGCACCTTTGTCAAGCTCAACAAGGCCTCCATCAACATGCTGAGGATTGTGGAGCCTTACATTGCTTGGGGGTAAGTCTGCCTTCTCCTTTGGTTTCTGTTGGTTATGTTAGCAAGATCGATATTAGGTGTTTTGACAGCAGTAACCTCATTCTTAGGTCATTTACCTCTGCTTTCATATTTCAGGTACCCAAATCTGAAGTCGGTGAATGAATTGATCTACAAACGTGGTTATGGCAAAATCAACAAAAAACGAATTGCCCTGACAGATAACGCATTGATTGCTCGATCTCTTGGTAGGTTCTGCTTCTTTGGGGGAAAGTTTGCTATTAGAGTTAGTATTTTCTGGTATCTTGGTGGCCCTGCGTTTTCCACTTTTTACTCTTGATTTAACTATATGTTACAGCCTATAATTGTGTTTGTTCAAGTAACAATTGTTATCTTACCCTGAAAATGTTCAGGTAAATATGGCATCATCTGCATGGAAGACCTGATCCATGAGATCTACACTGTTGGAAAGCACTTCAAAGAAGTGAACAACTTCCTGTGGCCCTTCAAGCTATCCTCTCCTCGGGGTGGCATGAAGAAGAAGACCACCCATTTCGTAGAAGGTGGAGATGCTGGCAACAGGGAAGACCAGATCAACAGGCTTATTAGAAGGATGAACTAAGGTGAGCATCTACTCGAGAGGCGTTTTACTTAATGCTTGAGTAAATGGGATGCAGTCTCATCCTTTTCCCACTGAATGTTGGTGAGGGTTTGGTTTGAGTTCTAATATATTTAGTGGGGCTACAGTTGGTTTGGTTACTCCCTTTTGAGGATGTTTATGAAGGGGGGGAAGATCTGTTAGTGATTTTTTTTTTTTCCTACTTAAAAATGGACAGTGAATTGGTACTTTAATAACTTACTGGTTTATGTTAATTCCTAGCTATTGAGGTGGTTTCTTTAATGGTTTTTTGTTTCTGTTTTTCCCTTTCAGGTATCTACTATGGTTATTTTTGTAATCTGGTCAGTTAATAAACTGAGTTCTTCAAAATTGAAGCATATTGTTGTCTTGGTGAGTTTTTTTGTTAGCCTGCCTCACCTCCACTGTCTCTTAGCTATCAGCAAACTTTAGTACTCGATAAAGTTAAGCCAAATCAATAGCCATTGCATCCAAAACTAAGGTTCCATTTGTTACTTGTGAAAAACACTTTTCTGTGCAAAAAAGGCATCTTAATATTTTACTATTTAGTTTGCCAAAACTAGTTTACTTCCCAGGCCTTTGTGCATGATTTATAGGTAAGGTGTAATAAAAGCAGTTTATATTAAAATATTGCTGAAATTCCGTTTTCTCGGGCTTTGGCTTGCCTATAAAGTATTCTGTAAATGTGTTTTCCTTTGTTTTTCTTGTTTCGTATCTTTTCTTCATATGTCATTAAGTTTTTCATTTTTGTATTATGGCTCTAGGCGGTTTGTGGATAGAGTGTCTGCCTTCGGATTAAAGGGTCTCGGATTTGATTCTGGTTAAGGACATGTACCTTGGTTGCGGGTTCCTCCCCAACCTGGGCCATGGTCTTGGCTTGTGCAGGAGGCAACCAGTTGATGTGTTTCTCTCACATCAGTGTTTGTCTTTCCCTCTCAGTTCCACTCTCCCTAAAGTCAATGAGAAAATAATGAGGATTAACATTAAAAAAATAAAACGGGGTATATATTATGAAGGAACAAATGAAATTAGTGTCTATTGATAATAGTTATTTTGAAGCACCTAAAGCACTGTTAGTGAAACTAGTGAATATAGCTTTAAATAATAAGTGTTGGTATTTTATGTATTTATTTTTTTCTCCAAAATATTTGAGAGAGAAATATCAATGATGAGAGAATCATTGCCTGGCTGCTTCCTGCAGGCCCCAAGATGGGGATCGAGACCACAACCTGGGCATGTGCGCTGACCAGGAATTGAAGCTCAGCCATTGAGCCACGCGAGCTGGGCAGTTTGGGTATTTATAAGAAACATTCCTCTATGGTTTATGTATCATCTTACCTGGTTAATGAACTGACAGTTATAAGTGTAGAGTGTAACATGAAATACATATAATGAAAGTTACAGTTTTTGTAATCTCATTGATGTGCCAAGACTATGATGTATATGAAACACAACAGGTTGTGACACTTTTGCATCAGAATCATTATTTTTTAGTATTTGAAAGTTGCTAGATAAATACATTTAAGAATTTCTTTAAATTCTTTGGTCTTGGAAGCTGTTTCTCTGGACTAGTGAATTTAGGGTCAATGTACATTTTAATCTCTAGGTGATGCCTAAGAGTCTGAGTTTAGAAATTACCATTTTGTTTTGCTGCTTAAGTAGAGAGTCCCAACTCCCCAGCCTTTGCTCATCCAGTATCCTGAAAGAAAGTGGCTCTGAAGAAAAAGCATTATTGTAATAAAGTTGTACAGATGGCATATGCTAACTACTTAAGCATGGGAAAGTAAATGTTGGAGGGATTGGGATAGTAATAAATAAAAGTGGCACTTTATATATAGGTGATGGCACAGTTTGGTTTTTGTTTTTTTAATCTTCATCTGAGGATATTTTTAGAGAGAGTAGACAGGGAGAGACATCAACTGGTCACCTCTTGCATGTGCCCCCTTGGGGCTGGGGATTGAACCTGAGACCCTTAAGTCCACAGGCTGATGCCCTCTCTAATCACAGCTGAGCCGGCTAGGGCGCCTTTTCTTAAAATTATTTTTATGGTAAAATTGGTTAGATATGATAGTTCCCTTGCCACAGAGGATAAGACTCCCAGTGGATGCCTAAAACTGTATAGTACCAAGCCCCATATATACTATTTTTCCTTATACATACATAACATTGATAAAGTTTATTTTATAAATTAGGCACAATGAGAGGTTAACAATAATAAATAGAATAATTATCACCATATTATAAGTTATGTGAATGTGGCTTTAAAATAGTGATTACTTGAACACAAGCACTGCAGTACTGGGGCAGTCAATCTGAGAAAACTATTAAATGCCTAACAAGCAAGGAGTGTGTACAGCATGGAGACACTAGACAAAGGGATTATCACCACCAGGCCTGGGCGAGGAATTTCATCACTATTCATGATGCAGTGCAATTTGAAACCTGTTTTAATTCTGAGATTTTCATAAATTTGAACTGAAATCATAGCAAAACTAAGGACAAAGGGGCACTACCGTAGGCCCCTGACTGCAAGTGCTCAATCTTGCCTGCAGTGGACAGCCATTGGATTGTTAGGATTCCTAAACTTACATGCATCACCACCCAAAGCAGCACAGCTTTTGAAGCTGGTGAGGGCTGGGAAATTCTGAGTATCTAGGGTAAAGAAGTGGACTGGGCTGTATCTGTCCTTTGTAGCTACGTTCTCATTTTTAATCCTGTAGATTATTTCCCAAGTGTGGCCAAAGAATAGGGAAACGTTTGTGAGTGGAGGGGCGTCGGGGACATCTAGGTTAGGATTGCTTCCGAATGAAGGAATCTAGTAGGAGTTTCAGAGGAGATATGGAAAGAAGGTAGACATGCTGCCAGGTGGCAACTTAAGCTGTCAGTTTCCTGGTGATAAAAACAGGACAGTGGGTCTACCTTCATCACAGAATTGTGAAGACTAATGGATAGGGAAGTGTTTTGTGAACTATTAAAACCTATTTAATTGCAGGTTAATACCTTCTTTTACTTAGCCCACCTCTCCTAAAAGGAAGAAAGTCTACTAACTCGTGTGCATTTCCATTTGTACTCTTTGAAGTGCCGGCTTTGTTAGGTCTCCAGCTGCCCCTGTATTTAGAAAGTGTCATCTTCTGCCCTCACTGACCTTTAGCCAAAGTTACCTCTTGTTGCTTAGAAGGTTCCTCTGGTAGGCTGGATCAAGAGTGCTGGCTTTGGAGCCAAACTGCTTACTAGTTTAATTATTTAACCTTTCCTTATCGGCAAAATGGGGAAAGCAGTGGTACCTGGCTTCATAGGATTTTCAGGATTAAATGTGTTGGGTCAAGTATCGATAAAATGCTTAGAGCCGTGTCTGGCTCAAAGTGCTAAGTAAACATTCATTGTAAAATTTGAGTACTGGGACCACTAGAAAGTGACAGTTTCCTGGGGTCTTTGAGGACCACTTCCAGGGAATCCTCAAAATAATCCCTTTGACCATTGACAACTTTCTGCCCCCCTCCCACCGCACCCCCGTTTTCCTTTACAGGTTTGGTATTAAACTAGACAAAATATTATTCTTATACCTGTGCCTCCATTCTCTTGGGAGGCATCCATCCCTCTAAGGCTAGTCTTTTTTATTACACATGTAACATACCTAGCATATCTCATTTTAATAGCATTTCACAGATGTGGCAAGGCTCTTTAGCAAAGATATGACTGGCTTCGTTGTGGCGGTATAGAATTGAACCTGCATGTCTCCATGTAGGCACTGTGTATGTTTACTATTGCTGCGGTAACAAATCACTTAAGTTACTTAAACCATAGATCTGTTGTCTTTTAACAGTTTGGGAAATCAGAAGTCCAAAATCTGGTTCACTAGGCTAAATCAAATTGTCAGCAGGCCTGCTTTCTGGAGGCTCTTCCATCTTCCCATCATCTCTGGCTCTGCTCCTCCTGCCTCGCTCTTACAGGGGCCCTGGTTATTACATTGGGCCACCCAGGTAATCCAGGGTAGTCTTCCCATCTCAAATACCTTAATTCTGGAACATCTGCAAAGTCCCTGCATAGGGACACATGACTCCCAGATATATTTTTTTCTTGTTCTTCATAAATGAGAAGCTTCTAAAGCAGGGTCTTGGCACTTGCAATCTTGTTTCTGGACCACTGCCCTCAGATCTGTGTACTTGGCTTTTTTCATTTGGGTAAAAGGTCTCTGACACACCTCTTCATATAACTTTTTTCTTCATAGCATCTCTTACTATCTGATAAAACTTTCTCCATGTCTTTGAGTCATCACCTTTTCTGTTCCGGTGCTTACAACAATGCCTGATGCATCCCAAGCCGGTTGCAGCTTTGAGTTACTCAACCTTCTTAAAGGGCAATCGCTATTTGAAATGGTGTATCTCCAGTTGGCACATGCAGTCCTTGGGTGTTCAGATGGGGAATGGTGAAGAGTGGGGGCTGGATTGTGGACGTATGAGTTTTATTGCCTAGGGCAGAGGTCTGCAAACTGCGGCTCTGGTGACTAGTGAGTTTGCCGACCACTGACCTAGACTCTCTTCCAATAATCACAGCTGTTCCTTGTGCTTAAGCCCCTATCCCAGTGTCTAGGGATAATAGTATGTGCAAGTAGAACAACATGTTAGGAGAATATAGAGAGGGTTCCACTGTGAGGATTGGGAAGTTTCACACAGGTTGGTAGGATTTGGGTGCCTGGTTATAAAACAATAGGAGCCAGGCCTGGAGTTGCACAGAGCGGGGGGGGGGGGGGGGGGGGGGGGGTGATAGCAAGACTCAAAAGCAGCCAGTTAAACCTTTGATAGCTAGTTGAGTGTGGTGTCCAATTAATGCACCTAACTTTTGCGTGCAGCCCCAGAACCGAGTTATTAATTGGTTTTGGCCCCAGACTTTTCTGTGGAAGTTCTCCATGTGCAGCCTATTCCTCTAGGTCAGTGGTAGGCAAACTGCAGCTCGAGAGCCACATGTGGCTCTTTGGTCCCCTGAGT